GGGCATCTAGGAAAAGCTTGCTCTGTAAAATGGAGCATGCGACCGGAAAATTAATGGCAGGATTTCATCCTATTAATACTCCAACCTGCTTCTGGGGGAGGCACTCGGGATGCCTTACCTTAAGCGAGGTTAAAAAGGTTTTGCGAGGGACAAGCTGTCCGTGAATAGCACGCTCCAGCAGCTAGAGCAAACAGAACAAGCCAAAGTAAACTATTCGGTTGCCAACAAAGCAGAGTTCAACGGGTTAAACAGACGCTTACTTTGGGCTTAGATGTTTCTTCACCGGTTCTACTGGTAGGGGTAAGCGTTTGTTTCGTCCATCCAGCATCCTCACAGTCTCCCTCGATGCGCCCGTGGCCGATACAGTGTGGTCTACCATTTTTAACTGACTATGATAAATGGTTGAGTATGACTGATAGAGCTGCACTGACGTGAACAGGTACTGCATACCGGGTAGACTGAAATGATGGTACTGTGTTCTCCCTAGAAATGGAGTTCGCCTGTAGTGTACCCATTTCTAGGGAGAACGCAGTAGCGTCGTTTCAAAGTAGTATTGAAACAGGCCAAACTGTCCATGAAAACTTTATCCACAGTAGGACTTAGGAAGACAAAAATGCTACCTCACTTCCACGCCATCCCCTTGCGGTCTGCAGGACGAACAGCAGCAGCCCTTTGTGTAACAAACTAGCTAGTACCTAACTGTAGTGAATACGCACTACTATCACGCCAACGATACCGTGCCCGTTATGAAATGAGTGAGGGTTGTACGAACAGTGGAAGTGCCTGTGACTGCTTATTGATCTACACTGAGTGTAACATTGGTGAATGTAGTAGACAATCTTTATGAAGTGACCATTGGTACGACGATAGGAGAAGCTGGCTTGAGCCTTGGCGCAGAAGGTATTGCAGCTTGCTACGCCGTCTGAGAACAAGCCCAGAGAACAAATTTCCCCTAACTTTTGTTAGTTTGTTCTGTTGTCCTTTCAGTTTGATAGCTATTGCCTGCCAGCTCGCTATATTCAGCTGTGGGGGTCCATGGATGGGCCGGAGAGTAGTCCTCCAGAGATACAACTTAGTAATGCGTAAAACTCACTGGCAATGTTTGTACTAAAGAGAAATACTCTACACTAAAAGGAAATGGCAAGCTATGCTGAGCCCGGTTGAAGATAATTTAAACATCTGCAGCTGGCTTTATGTATTACTAAGTTGTATCTCTGAAGGACTACTCTCCAGTGCAGGATTCGCATTATGCCATCGTGTGGGGGAACGTGGACGCCTACTAGGCCTCACAACTGCGTTTTTCATCTGCGTTTGTGTTGTCGTTGCGGGCACAAGACGCAGAGCTGCTGGCAAAGACTCGCTGGTGCATCTACGGAGGTGAGTGGGATCAAGTTCCGAGGGCAACATGATCCCTAAGGCCCCAAACTCCCCTTAGACTGGCCCTTCTGAAGGGGATTTTCACACACGAACTGCTGCATTATGTGAAACATGCATAGCTCAACGTTTTTGCACTATTTTTGCCTTTTTTTTTGGATTGTTTTCTTCTCTAGCTACGCAGTCTTCAGCTGTTAGCGCAAAGGTAGTAGCTGGATGTCGACTACGCCCAGCACTGATTTATAGCAATAAACCATTCTTGAGCCAAACCCAATGGGCGGCACACTGTTCCACTTGCGTAGTGGTGATGGAGAATGGTATGTTTTGAGGCGAGCGTAATCGAAAAACACCGCTACGAACTAAATGTAGAATGCCCCGAGCATTCCAGCGCATTTTCGCCGACGTAGCCAGCACTTACCGCTTGTCTAATCGGTCGCTTGTTCGCTGGAGAACTTCCTAAGTACAGCGCGCTTGACTGGGCCTGTGCTACCTAGTGGGGAGGAACTTCCCTTCAGGTATACGGCGACAAACCGTTCCACAGCATGGCGTGACAGGCGACGTTGCGAGCTGTTCTGCACGTCTCTCAGTTGTACAGAGCTATTTGCACACCCCGCAACGCGAAATGCGTTTGCTGTAACGCTGAAGTGAGGCGTTGAAATCCGAACCAAGCAAGTACGGCATGTAGAAAACAAGCGAAGCAAAAAGCAAACAAGCAAGATAGACCAAAGACGTTTCAGGTTTCATTGCCAGAGCCTAGCAAGTTCCGCCCTGGTGCTCCTAAAACCAAAAGCATCCAGAGCTAAGGTGCTCTTCTGGTAGCCGATCCCAGTGCACTCGAACGAGCTATGAGACATGGGCGGCGCTTGCATCGCCGATGGTGCCAGCATCCCCCTTTTTTGAAAGGGAGTAGGCAATGCGCGAGGAAGTCCTGATAGAGATAATGGGAGCGGATGCAGTTATTTACAGGTTATCAACCGCGTCAGCGGAATCGAAAGCACTATTAACTCCAGCAAGCAGGAACGGTCATGCGAAACGTTGGCTTGCTGAGGAGAGTCGGCATCCGCGTGATTTCAGATACCGTAGAGTTCCCTAGAAGGAGCTTATTGCAGTCTGCGAGTCGTCTAACTGTTGGTGACGCCCCTAAACCTGTCAGCTGAGTAGATATCTGCTCGGCAATCGAGTCGAAACTTAATCTTCAGGGGCATTCGAGGAGCTTTCTTCCGGTTGCGCGGTTCGTGCAGAGCCTGCACTGCCAAGCCTCATCCAATGATGCTTCTTGACATCCTCCTGTTGTTTCGCTGCGGTTTGGATTAATAAAACGCCACAGCCAGGCTGCAATCATCAAGCTTGCCGGTTGGCAAATTCCTGATCTTCCCTACCATCACCATGTCCGATCAATGCCTTTCCTTGTATGGTGGGGCAGCTACACAATGCTGCTTCTGCGAATTATTCAAGCAAACGCCAGCACTTGTTTTTTTTTNTTTTTTTTTGCCTAGGTCTGCAGGTTATCGCCTGCGCTGAACCCAACGCATTTATCTCAAACCGCCGTCTGAAGCCCGTCAGCGTAAGGGACAGTGGCGCTACTGAAGCTACAGGCGTAGAGGCACGAAGTGTCAGCATCCTAGACGTCAGCAAGGCGCCAACGCCAGTACTCTGTCGGCGGCGCCCCACAACCGAAATTGTTTGCAATACGGCGAGCTGGCAGCCTTCTAAATCCAATGGTAACCGTTTGCGCACCTTAGTTCACGAGTGTTCCCGCTAAAAAGTGTCACTCCCGAAGTTGTCTGCAGTTATGCTCAACATTGCAAACATCGTCTGCAATATTAAGCATAAGCGCAAACGTCCTATGCAGTGTTTGTCGCACCGCTGCCCTCCGGCACACCCATTATAAGTTTCCGCACCATGGTAAGATGCTTCTGTTGAATGCCGGGCACCAGGATTTGCAGTCTGAGAGCATATGCTACTACCTCGAAAAGGCAGCCTGAGTTCATGCCACACTCGATGTTCACTTAGACTTCCTACAAAATGAGGGGAGTGCAATTCCTTTCTTCCACGAGGCTGGCCTGGACAAAAACCGTGGATCTGGCTTTCACCTAATAGCTTTGTGGACCTTTGTGATCCAGCAACAATGATTCACGTGGCATCGGAAAAACCTAATTATCCCCTAGGAAGTGTCAGCCAAGCAAGTAAGGACGAGCAGGGGTGGAATATGCTGGCTTTCAAAGTGTAGCCAGCAGGAAACAAGAGGAGGATGCCATTATAAACGCACTAACACCTCTTGTGGAAGAATAGGCGGTCCTTGGTCCTATTCGGGTGGAGGTGGAGTTGGTGAGAGCCCTCCTGTTGGCGGCAGCTCGACACAAAGATGGCTTAATAGGCCCTTTAGAAAACTAGACCGGGTTATTGGCCACAGTGAATGGCGCGAATAACTCGCTCTAGAGTTATTGGCACCATTCACTGGGGCCAGTTTGTGTTCTAATAGTACTGGCAGAACAGGTGAGTGCATGCTGTGGTACGACCCACCTCAGGTTTGGCTTAGGGGATATTGAGGTGTTCTGCGTAACATCTATCTACCTGCGACGCGTTTACCATCATCCAACTGACTTCCGTGTGCTAGATTGTCCGTCTGTGTCGGTTTGGAAATAGTACTTCTGCACGTGAGTTTTCTTCAGCGTGTTTCTAACGCGCTAGCAATATACCGAATATCCATGCAGCAGAAGGTTTGCCCACGGTAGAAGGCAGCTGTGCGAAGCGCCTTGTTACGGTACTGCAGTAAATTTTGTGAAATCCGGATTATTGGCGCGCCAGAGTTTCGAAACGCATACACCTTTTTTTGTTTCTTTGCGTCAATTTGCCATCGCGGAGCTATGTAGAACGGGACATCAATGGCAGTAGGTTGTATCGAATATCAGTGCTTTTGAATGTCAGGAATGCTCGTTACCGATATCTTGTTATCAGCCGGGGGGATGCACCACCTACAACAGAACCACTGGGAAAGTCAGGAGCTAGACAACGAACAAGCGAATAAATATGATTTCAACATGAATTCGCTAGGGTGCAGACTCTATTGCCGCTGAAGTTGAGCGCAACCCTTCGGAGGCGCTCACCTGGTGCTGCAGCAGGGGCTTTGTTTTACGGCGCAAGAGGAGTGTCTTGTTTTGTGTCACACTTTTCTGCGCGGACATAGACTATCGTGCTCTTATGAATCAAAATGTACATCTACTATTCAGCCAGTGAGCGAATGTTTTGCTTGCCCCAATTTGCTTCTGTCGCTACCTGTACTGACAATGAATCGCGGGGCTGCGCAGCAGACTGGCGCATGCGTTAAACGGGGCTGGGAACCAGGAAATGCATTGGGTATAAAAGCTAAAATGCATTCGAAATGATGCGTTACGAGCATCTTATATAGGTTTGACTATAAAGCTCAATACATTATCATGTGTAATTATCCTAACGTGTATATCGAATGCGCTTTCGGTCCCCGGTGGCCTTCCGTATTGAAACTGTCATACGGCTGGAAGGGACAGGCTAGGCACGGCAGCGGAGCGCCGTTCCTTGCTTGCTTCCTCACACTATAGACAGAACTTTCGATAAATAGCGCGCTCGGCTTTTTCCACGCTATTCCAATGATTCTCGATGGCCCCCCTAGGCCGACCCTGGTAGGCAGTAGCACATCAGTGCATTCCGTAGTTCTCATAAGACCATATGGTGATACTGAGAGTGTAATTGGTACACACATCGTCTTCACGAATTAACCCCCACAGGCTCCGGAACAGTAGGCACGAACGACGTCCGCTATTTCGTTTCTGAAAAGCTTCGCTTGTGGGCCATTGTAGGTTCGCTACGGACCCTGCATCGAAATAGCAATTGACTCTCCTGAGGCAGCGGCACTTCTTTCCGAGGGATGCAACACAGATTCCCGAGACGCCCAGGCAGTTATCGAGCGCGTCCGCAGGGATGCGCAAGGTTCAAGAATCTCCGTTGAGGCCGTTCTCGATGCTCTGTTTCCTCCTATCATATGGCGGGAAGGCGATCGTCTGTTCGTGCAGGCACGTCTCTGTGCTGTGTAATGCTGCATGTACAGTGTCTGCACTCGCAACCCGGGCCAGTACAGCAGGCGAACAGCCAGGTTCATTGTCTTCACCATTTGGCCCGTCTAGCTTGAAGTCTCCATTGCTGTTCACTTATTGTCCTTGTACTGATTTGCAGCACGTCAGCACAGCAGCCGCAGATCGGGTAGACGTTCTGAAAACTCGTGAGGACCTCGACGTTCAACTCTTGGAGAGGCGTGCATCAGAAACTGGAGTTTGTGCATGTCGTTATGATGCTATCCTTCAGTGTTTCGGTGAGCAGCCATAGTTGGAACTGTTGAAACTCGACGGTTGTGCATATGAACGCAGCGCCAAGGTCTAGTGCGGCAATTTGCTTACGTTCCAGTGCTTACAGGAGCTGGCGGACACTGCCGGGGATGCAAAGCTTCTAGGTGTATGCGTAGCAGGGTTCTTGCTTCCGGTTTAGCAGTCCACACCAACAAGTTAGTTGATACAAATACGCTTGTGTGATGCAGACGAGCTCATTCGCCAAGTGGCAATACTGTGCCCTGAGCGTGCGCTTCTACTTTTGAGGTATGCTTGTGGGAATTCGCTGCCACTGCATTCACCCCTCTGGCATGCACATCCCTCTGGGATGCGTACAAGACCCAGGATCCAAACTAAAGGGCAAATCTGCTATGCATTTTGCAGAGTGAAGGACGAAATTAAACTTACTATATCTGCCCTGGAAGTGCTTTGCAAAAGTTCAATAGGCTTTTCTGCTCTTAAACAAATACAAAGCGATGGCACGGACACTGGTGCCACGCAGGAAGAGGCAAGCATTTTATGCCAACATCGGCTATCCGCCGGGGGTGCCTGGCTGCAGCGTAGCTAAACGAGAAGGACATGTAGTTGTAGCGATATATCCTTCGCAAGAGCTGTGATTGCGTGGATGCGTTCTAACTCTCTGCAGCTGGAGAGCCTGAAAGAAAAGAATGAAGAGCTAAAGGCAACTCTGGCAATAACAAAGAATCAGATTGAAGAGCGGAAGGCGTATGGCTTTTGCATTCGGCTGCGTTGATCCGCTACAATTGTCTGACCGATTTGGATACCTTGCTAGCATAACCAGGGAGCATGTGCCTTGAAACATCATGCTGTTGAAGGAGGCTAATAGAGATTCATTGGAAACCCTGGTAGTGTAGAGAGGTCTAAGAAGAAAGAAATACTCCTACGTCAGCAGGTTGTGAATGCATTGTTGTGTGCGTCGGTTCCGCCTTTGTGTTGTAACAGGCAAATGACGGAGGAGCTCAATGCGCTGGCGAAACAGCATGCTAATGAGGTGGGTCACCTACAGCACATTTATCTCCCAATCGCTTAACTCGGGACGAGTAGCCGGTCGTTGGCATGTGAAAGCTGTTGATTCCTTCGTCTGGTCGTTTCTGCGACAGGTGGAAATGATGAGGCAGCAGCTAGCAATTCTAGAAACAATCTTCATCAATACGCACAACGCCCGCGGCAAGGTTACTACAACCAGCCAAGCACCTAGCCAGCCGCTCTCTTAAGTAATGGACTGCCTTGCTTGTTGCCCTGGGTAAGATTTTGACAGACGAATCTACCGTATCAGCCGGTGTAGCGTCAAGTATTGTCTACAGCCACCTGCTTGAATATAGCGTTTCATTCCCCAGAAAATGTTCGGGAGGAGCTGTGGGAAACTTGTCAGCTAGTGCAACGACTGTAATCTTAATATTCGAGAAGAAGATTTGCCAGCGAATTGCTATCTGCATTTGCTGTCAGTCCCGGCGCTGGCCCCTGACATTGGCTATTCAGCATCAACTTTTCGCAAGGTTACTCCGGCTTCTGACCGAGACCGTCAGCCTTGACTGAATTTGGGAAGATCGATGGGAACCCAATGCCGCGTGCTACAGCAGACGGCGATACCTTGCTTAGTGAGTTAATGGTATTCAGGCATGGCAGGCAGGGGCGGGCAGTTACCGCTTGCGGTCCAAATGGTCCTGGCAAAAGCAGCACGGGCTGTTGATGTTCGGCATACGAATTTCTAAACAGCCCTGCTTACTCGCACGGGAGCGGCCGCATCCGATTGGGCTCTATCTTCACCGGATATGGTTCGATTCCTGCAGAGACTTGGAGGCCTAAGAGGCTAATTGTTTGGATTGAAAGCGAACACTTTCCTGCATTTATGAGCCACCGATCGTCACTTAGCAGCCGCAGCACACACCGGCGTTGCTGCAAGTGCTCTCGCACGTTCTAGCTGAAGATTAGCGCAGCCTTCATGCATGGGAGCGTAGACGCCCTATATCTTCGGCTCCTAAAACCAACTTATCATCTCGTTGCAGCTCGTCATGTCCACTCGAAAACAGCGATGGTCCAGGGATGTACTGTACAAATGTGGGTTTGGATTCCAGGTTTTTGCAAGTTGCCGGAAGCTCAGGTATTCTGCAGAAACGTATCAGCGAAACTAAGCGCAGAGGCAGCATAGCCTTGCGTGTACTCAAGTAGTTGGCGGATTGGGGTCACCGTACACTCTTGCTTGACAGTTTGCTTGAGCGTGTTTTCGTTGGGGCGTTCGATCTCGACCGATGAAGCATACCTTTTGTCCTTCGCCAGTAGCGGATCGTGGCCAACCATGATAGCTAACAGTTCTGTTTTCCTGAAGACTCTTCCGCGTGTCGCTCGATTATCTCTTCAGGGCGTGTTAACCATCTGTGCCTCAAAACAGAGCATTGGAATGCACTGGGACTGGGTTGGGTGCGGCGCGTTGGGCGTCAGCCAGAAGGCCAATCAGCTGAGTGCTTTTTTTTAATTAATACGCCTGATGAATTGTCTCCCAGCGGGGCTTCTATCTGCTGCTCTTTTGGTGCTAACTGCCTCGTGTTTTCCGGTGTTACACTTTTCGTTAAACCGCCAGGACGTGTTGCATGTAATTTCAACGCGTTTCTCACAGACTTTTTGCAATGAGTTGAAGTCTCCTGCTCCTTTCCTCTTGGGCCTTTGATCCCAATCTTATGGCTTTAGAGGAGCTAGTGTTGCGGGCGTTTAATGGTGCACTACCTCATTGTTTCAGAGCCAGATGCCTCAATAGGTTTCCAGGGATAGACAGATATGGCAAAACGTTATCCGTTGCAGCACGTGTCAGGCCCACTTCGCAGCCTACACCACATAGCAGCAGGAAATACCAAGCATTAGAAAAACCAGGACTGGGCGCAGAGTTAACTCGGAGGGGACCTGTAGGCGCGATCGCCACCTCTTGTGGACACGCCACTGTGATAAACTCCCCTGTAGCTGGCCACCCGAGGGGAGTTTGGGGCCACAGGAATAACAGCGGCCTCGGAGCTGGACCCCATCTGTAATGCCCTTGGGGCTGGCCGCGCAGTTTGGCAAACCCTGAAGCTTCTGGGCACCGATGATGCACGTTCTAGTATAGATATGACAATAAAAATTTACCTCCGGGATAAAAGTGGGAGCGGCTAGGGCTGTGGGATCAAGGCGAACGGAACCAATGCGCACCCGCAGCATATTCTAGCCTAGAAAGGAGCGGTAGGCAGACAACTCCAATGGAGTACGACGAGATGACAACGACAGCGACCCGTAATATTAAAGGGGAAAGTCAAATGCTGGCTTTTTGTTACGGTCATGCTTGTAATCCAGCGGGAGAATAGACCTCGGAGACTGCCTTAGGGCTGTGTTCATGGTTGCTTCCTGGGCTCGTCCCGCCAGCACCGGGAGTGTAGTAAATGCTCACTCCAATGACGGCACCATTGCCGCCCTCCTTGTGCAAGAGGAAGGGTTGATTCAACAAAGGAAACGTGCGTGAGTGCAACACAAATTGATGGTTATTGAGTAAATACTTGATGAATGTAGTAGATGTTGTTTGCAAAGAAGCGTATTGTTATCACTATAGGAGAGGCTGGCGTGAGACTTGGTGCAAAAGGTGTTTCAACACGCCAGGCGTTCTCCTATCAAAACCCCTAACGCTGCAGTGCCGGGTCTATTCGGAATGAGAGTATAACAATTTTGAGAGCTAAAAACCACCGAAAAAGCCTTCTTTAAGTTTTGTTAGGGTTGTTATTTTGCTGAATCAGATGAGATGGTTGAGTATCTGTAGTATAAGTGAGGTTATATGAGGGTGTCAGTCAGCTTATTCCCCCCGGCGCGTTAGACTCAGCAGTGGGCTTCGACGGATGTGCCTCTCATTCAGAGGGACAGCCTATTAATACCTCATGCCTATTGAAAATATTGCGCTACAGTGGAATACTTTTTATTAGCATAGCACGCAGGGAACTGAGGGTTCAGCCCACACTCAGCTGCCTGTGCCCGGAGTACCTCCACTGTTATGGATTCACAACACCCCATCGTGTGAGGGAAATAGGATCCCTCCTACATGTCACTGTTGGGTTTTCGTCTGTGTTTGTGTTCTCCTTGGGGGCACGAGACGCAGAATTACGGAGATTGTCTGGTGCCCCCACTGATGAGAATCGGATCCAGTTCCGAGGGCCCTATGATCCCTAAGGCCCCAACCTCCCCTTACCTGGCCGTATAGGGAAGTTTCTCACAGGGGAGGGTGCTGGCATCGCTAGCTGGCCAGGCCTGCACCCTTTGACGGTCTCGCTACATCACTCGTATAGGCGCTGCTCATCGTTCTACACTCGTATGAAACGGTTGGTTGACCGTTGCTTCTAGGGTGCTTATGATAACCGTTAGCTACCTACCATATCTTCGGCCTAGTCGGCACTGGCGTTTGAGTGCCAGGCCCTACACCACCCTCATCAGTGGGTGCACCAAACAGTGTCCGCAGCTCTGCGTCTTCTGCCCCCAGCGACAACACAACGCGTAGAGAAAACCGAAGTGCGACTAGGGTTGCGTCTCCGCTTACGCGAAGGGGTGGTAGAGAACAGTAAAAATGAAGGAACTGCGGGCCAACGGAGCTGATGATCTTCGAGCCACCAGTCCATCTCTTGTTGTGCCTTGTTTACTCTGCGCTAAGAAGGGGAACTACACTTTTATATAATATTTTACTAGGTAGGACTGAATAATGTGGTGCTCCTCTGAAAGTTCTTCTCGGTGCAGATCGCTCAAAACCCACTGCCGAGTATAACGCGCCGGCGAGCACAATCTGACTGCCGGCCTCAAGTAACTTCACGGAGGTACAGGAACGCTAACACCTCATCTATTTCGGAAAACAAAGAAAAACCAGCAGAGGTTAAATAAGCTTTTTCCTTGCTGCTTTCTCATAGTTTGTGCTTTCTCCATCCCCACTGGTCCCGGCACTGCTGCCCCAGCGGCTGGGAGGTGAGACAGCCGGGCATGTTACAGCCTCCTTCTGCACTCTCATGAAATCATAACACAGTATACTGCATTTTAGTGAAAACTAGTAAATACACTCACCAAGTACTTATGCAGTAAGTATCAATGCGTACTCTCGTCAATTTTCACCTTTAAGCAGCCAACCAATCGCAACCAGCACCGCAAACTGGCAGTCGGCAATGTTCAGGTGGTTGTGATTATTCACGTCAACCACTTCGCCGCACTTCATGTAGCGGCCGGAGCAATTCACTGAGGGACGTACGGACCGGCACACCTGCTCATTTCTGAAAAAGCCTTTTCTTCTTCCTCATCTGGGGTGCTGAATGTGAGAAACTCCCCTTCAGAAACGCCTGACTAAGGGGAGTTCGGGGCCTTAGGGATCATGTGGCCCTTGGAACCTGATCCCACTCACGTCAGTAGATGCACTAGTCCCTTCCAACGGCTCTGCGTCTTGTGCCCCCAACGACAACACAAACGCAGATGAAAAACACAATTGTGAGGCGTAGAAGGGATCCAAGTTCCCTCACACGATGGGGTGATGGGATCCCATAACACTCTAGGTACTGCAGGCCCTGTAAGCTGACGAGTAGTGAGGGAGAGCTTACTCGGTTGTATACGCTGAAGGGCGACTGTGGGGCGCATGCCGGAACCCCACAGCTGAGTATAGCGAGCTGGCGCACACTCTGGGACCAGAAGAGGTGGCTGCAAAAATCGAGCAGGCTGAGCAGCTGCTTAAGTACGCACAAATCTCACTCACTTCACAACGAGCACGGCATTGCTGCCGTGATTGTAGGGAGTATTCACTACACAGAATGTGTTGAGACCCCAGAATACCTCGGAGAGCTTCGGTGGGCCAGATGTGCTCCAGAAAAGTGGTAAACCTAGCCAGCCTCCCTCTGTAATGAGTCGAGATGCGGTTGAAACCGCAGCGCTCTGGTTGCATTTGAGACAAAAGCTCAAGTACAACGCCAAAGAAGTACAGAATTCCTCTACTCTCCCCGCATTGCGGAGCGCCTCGAGGAGCCCAGCATATTTGGATATTCGGCTACCTTGGGGGGAACGCCAAAGAGTAAACATTGGTGCATTGAAAGTCTGAAGTTACGGAGCTCTTTTTCATGGAACGAGACTCCCAGCTGTTGGCCGTCTGGCCTGCAGAGGGCAAGGGTTGATCAGTCTCCACTACTCGAAAAGATAACACGCTGATATTTTGCAAACTGCTTTGATGATAATATTACAATAATGCACCCGATTCGTTCCGTAGAGGGTTATAATGATTAATCGCGAATGGGCTACACACCAGGCCGTCCCGCTTTCGGTCTGGGGTTCGCAGTTCGAGCAAGCAGTTCTGAATGATGCGGTGCTACCAACTGTGATGACGAGAGTCCGCTAATCATAGCAAAGGATAGGCGAACGTTTCCCATCCCTTGCTATTCTGCGTTGAAGTCGGTGAAGCCTACAAGGCGTTCATTGGAGTGATTGGAAAGTCCTTCAAAGCCACACGTCAAGGGCTGTATCGTGCACCGTTTTAGGAACAAGAGTTTAATTAATGCTGCAAGGCAGTCCCTGCACCTCGCCGAGGACGCCCTTGCTTCTAGTTTGCCCATGCGCCTTCTGGACCTGGCAGTTGTTTGTGGGACTACCGTGAGTCCACCGTGCAGACTTTTGACCGAGTGTACAGTTGAGAGGCAGAACTTAAACAGCGAGGAAGACCATTGTTGTACCTAGGTAGTAAAACTGTCCAATAGCAACGAAAGCATATATCTGGACTCGCCAGCCAGCACATGAAGCCCTAATGACATACCTTTTATCTGCAGTTGTATGCGCATGCGCAAGGAAAGAATGATAGGCGCTGTTAACGAATTTAGACCCAGGACTGCGTCGAGGTCAGTTTCGGTGTCTGACTACGCACCTCTGACTGTCGGCATTCTGAGTCTGCCTGTGCCTGCCTCCCTGGCCTTTCCAGTGCAAAAGCGTCCAGGCCGCCTTGCCTGTAGCTTTACGGTGGCTTGGAGCATTTTTGGCCTCTAAAGCAGGTAGTGATTCGCGGTCCTTTTGTTGGGTCTGCTGTCAACTTAAACGCGGGCTGCCCCCTCTGACATGAAGTGCATCTGCTGCAGACTGCATTTTGCTTGCCTAGCTTGCATACGCGTAATTTGCTACATCTGCTCTTGCGTTTTTCTGGATAGAGAGCCCATACAGGGCAAACTGCAAGCACTTAATACGAAGACTGTCACCAGAAGCAGCCTCTATTCGAACTTACTCAATGTAGGGGAATAAAGATACGTGCTTTCATTGACTGGAGGCATTGTGGTTAAGGGGCTTGAAGGCCCAGTGCAACCCGTGTGCGTCTGAGGTGCTTGGATATGTTGGCATCATCAGGAAGCTCTTTGTGGAGAGCTTCATAGAGGAGGAGGGCAGGGCCGAGTTGACCTGACTTGCGGAGACAGAGAGCAGCCAGTTGCCTCCACTTGCTTTCTGTCGGCTGCAGCTGTGCAGCCAAGTTGAAAAAAGAAGAAGCCTCCTTGAAGTTCTGCGCCTTTACTAGTTCTATGCCTAACCAGGTCGCCGCGTCGAGGTCCCAAGGCCGGAGCCTGCGTACTCAGACATTAGGGTGCTGAGGGAAGTGGCTTTCTTCCATATATGCATGCAAGCAGAGAACAAAGCAGCGCTTCGGTGGTCCCGCGTGTAAAACCAATGTGACATGATGGCTCGAGCCGGTACAAGAAGCAAGTAGAGGAGGGCAGGTTTCATTAGTCTGTCCACTGCACAGTTGACACTGTATGCACAGAACTGCCCTAGGCAGCAGCAGATGAAGAATTACCCAAATGCCTCTCGATAGTGGCTGAGAGCCTCCTGAGGCCGCTCTAAACGCGAACAGAGAGACCCCATTTTACTCCAAACAGCAGCATCGAGGGGCCGAATGGATGGAGACGCCAACAGCGCCAAGACCTCCAAGGCCAGCGAAAGCTCTCCTTGCTGCAGATACAGCAGAGCAGCACTCTACTGTGCATGTAAATGTACACCATATACACAACGCGCATATTGCAGGTGCATGCAAAGCTTTCATAGTTCACGTATGAACACACACACACACACACACACACACACACACACACACACACACACACACACACACACACACACACACACACACACACAGGTGTAAGAAAACGGCACAAGGGGGTTGAAGAATGTCTACAGAGGGACTAGCTTTAGGGCTGCTTTGCCTGTTCGTAGATTGCTGCCAACTGAAATAAAGCTTCTGCGTGGCCAGGAGAAAGAGATCGCAACCGCCCACAGGTCTCAAGTGCCTCATCGTTCCTGCGTCATTCAGGGAGTGCATGCAACATATGGATGGAAACTGCATATGCGACAGCGCACAGGCGCAACTTGAGGGTGCTACATACTTTTGGGGCGCATGCACATGGCGCATGCAGGTCTACAACAACTGTTAAAACATACGCGCATGCATGCAAGAGTGCGCAAATGTGTGATTTTTCTTCCAGTACCTCGGATACGCAGTTTAAAGGGAGATTGTTTGTCGGTTTGCCCTGCCCGCTTAGGATTGCTGCTAATTATGGGCGGGTAAAAATGAATTGTGTTTGGGGGGCTTCCGCTTTAAGGTGTACCTGCCGAGTTTGCGCCAGGTGACAGTGAGGTTGTAGAGGGCTTCTTGGCAGTGAGGATCGACACTTGCAGCCTCGTTAAAGAGCGCCGCAGCCTCCTCGTGCTGCCCCTGTAGAGAAAGAGCGCAGCCCTTGTTAACGAGCGCCTTAGCACTCCTCCTGCAGAAGGCAAACCCGACAACTTGAGGCCTGAACCCTGCATACACTGCAGTCCGCCTTGCAGACATGTGAGTACGTACTCGAAGCGTCAGTGACGTGCAGGAAAAATAATGCAAAGAGGGGAGTCGAAGCAGTCAGCCCATGTGCGTGCGTGCAACGGATGCACACACATGAGCTGCGCATAAGCACAGAGATGCGCTGAAGCGACAGTAAGCTCAAATCCATGCATGCTCAACGGCAGCAAAAAAATGGATCACTCGCGAGCAGATGCAGAGAACCACAAAAAGAAAACGCTGATTTGACGGGGGAGAATGCAGAACATATGGTGCTGGATTGAATCATAGTTGAAATGAAACTGTTGAGAAATATAACGCAAAATAATAACGCAAGAAGAAACAGCATCCAGAGAAGCCTCAAGCAGGGGCAGAAGCAGCAGCAATAAAAAATCCAGGATGACGGGGAACAGCAAAGAATGCTCCAGTAGCAAGACGAGTAGTAGGGGCAGCGGCAGAAAGAAGAGGCGTCGGCTCTTTTCTTGTTGCTGCTGCTCTTCCTGCCTCTCTTGTTGCTGGCTGCACAAGAGCCGTCGGCGCACACACCTGTCTGCCTTAAGTGCGATGTCTGCGTATGTGTTGGCCTGTTGGATATTCCCCTCCAGGAGGAAAATAAAGCACAAGTTAATAGAGGCACGAAGGAGAAGACGGGGCCTTTGGAGCTTGAAGGCCTTGTAAGCTGCTACGGCGGGCTCCACCTGCCCTTCACGCAGCCGCTGCATTGCGAGCTCCAGCTGCAGTTCTCCTGCCAAGTCGTCAAAGCCTGCAGATGCAGTGGCGGCTGCAGCAGCTAAAGAATGTAATCAGAGCTCACCATTCACCCTGTAGAGGCTTCCCAACTCAAGGTAGAAAACTGTGCACTCTTGTTAATGTGTTTGATTGTGTTTGTCGTTGGGTTCTATAGGCTGACTCGCTCGCTACTGTGTGCATGCGATCTAATATTTGATGCAGTTGTTCGCCTTTGGATTCCCTCATCGCTTAGGCATCCATGGAGTTGAATGAAGCTCGCCGCGTTGCCTTCAGTTTATTACACTAGTAAATGATCACTTGAAAGTAATAATAATAGCTAGGGTTCTGTGTTGGACTGAGCTCTCTTTGGTGTTATCCTGCAAGGAAGTTTCTCTGCACTTTTCCTATCTTGTGGCTAAACTCATGTGGAAAAAGCCGTGTGCAACTAAGAGAAACTCCAGCATGCACGCGCGCACGCGTGCAAGCATGCATACAATACACACCATGCTGCCGCATGGTGGATATTACACCTTCGTACGCCGCTTGCGGCTGCAGCTCTCCTGAGGCAACTAGCCACCGCGCAGCCTTCAACACAGCCTCGTCAGCCTGACGCCGCTCGTCTGCTTCGCTGCTCTCCACTGCTGCTGCTGTTGCTGCTGCTACTGCTGCTTCTGCTGCTGCAGCTGTAGGAGGAGCACCAGAAACAGTAGCACCAGCAACCGGAGGTGACGCAGAGTGGGCCTCCCTAGCAGTCTCCTGCGGCCTCAACTCCTCTTCTTCTGCCACTGCATAATGCAGACGGCCAAAGACAGGAACAATACCCACGAGGAATGTACTACAAGGCAACAGAGACAACAAAAACGGTGACACGGCGTACATGCCTCAACGACACAAGTAAATATAAGGGACGATACGCAGATACACCCCCGCCGGCATCTATAGGTATCCCCAACCCCAAACCCTAAACGCTCAGCCCTAAATTCTAGGTCCGATTGGCTCCCCACCGAGGGACTGGATCTGGCACTTTTTAAGAGAGAGCATCATGAGGAAGGCATCGTGCATGCGCGCAGCGTCTCCAATGGCGGCGTAGCAGAGAACGAGATTAAAGCCGGATATAATAGATTGTACATCTTCAGGAGCGAGCTGAAGGAGACTCAAACAAAATCTGAGCCCCACACCCTCAAGGCCCTCTACCGCTTTAAAGAAGATTATTGCCCGTCAACAACGGGGTGCGCAGAAACCTAAACCACCACGAATGCGTGACACGAAGCTTTGACGTTAAGCATGCTGCATACATACGTGCATGCATGCATGGGTTGCAACGCCGCGAGTGCTCTGCTGCGTGCAGGCAGAGCCACCCACACAAAGACAGAGACACTCGCGTTTAGTGTTCAGGTTTAAGGACCTCAATGGCTTGCTCGTATTCCTCAGCTGCCTCGAGGTATCGGCCCAAAGAAAAGTGGCAGCCCGCAACGCTGCGGAGAAGTTTAGCTCGCAGCAATTTGTAGCCCTGCAGCAGACGACGGTCAAGAAATTGTTTGCTGTTCCTCACCCCAAAACGCATGCAAAACACCACAACGCCAGCGCCTACAACGACCGCCCTCAAATGCATTCGTACGATAGCTCCGTGTGCATGGGAACAGCGAAAGCTGACGCATGCAAATGCCAGCAACAAGCTCATCCAAATAACAGCCCCAGTGCATGCAACCAACAACGACAAGAGCATGTAACAACAGTCCTAGAAGCATCGTAACACCATTTGCAATCGCCTGGAACTGTTATTTACAGCCGCTTGGAACTAAGAACCCCCAAAACATGCAAACGACGCCCAACAATGCCAATAACACCCGAAGCGCGCCGGAAACTTCTATTCTCAGTGCGTGCACACACCAAACACCAGCAACAAGGCGAACCTGGTCCTTTGTTGTGAGGTGTATGTTGTCTAGAGCAGCCTTAAATGCCTTCAGCGCATCCTGAGGCCTCTGCTGCTTCAGCAGCATGCAGCCAATGTTGGCAAGCAGCCTGCAGCAAGAGCAACAGCAGCAGCATCACTAGTACTGCTTGCCTGGCAGGCCGCACGATAAATGCATGCACCCATGAAGCTACACAACTGCTGCTGGACCTACACCCGAGCGCAGACCCGTGCAATGCAGACAACAGCGGCCGGCCAATATATCCACGGGTTCAATGCAGTTGCATGAGCACTTCCTGCATGTGCAACTTTTTTGTCTCTTGTTTTTACGCTGCTCTTTCTAACAGACCTTCGCAGACGTATATACACCGCAGAACTAATGCCAACAATGCAGGACAACCCCATATACAGACGATGCAGATGCAATAAACAATAGAAATGGACAAGAACCCAACAGTGGTCTGAGCAGAAAAGACGCTACAAGCATCGGTGGGTGCAAAAATACAGCGAAACGCAAGTAAATAAGAACAACAAGCAACAAAAAAAAAACAGCCGATATCAATGTTTTCTCCTACATCTTCCTTGTCTCGGGAAGTCTGGTGTCCGCTAGCAGGCCGTTGTACACCTCGTGGGCGTCATCGTATAGCCCTAGTCGCTGCAGCAGTCAAATATGCTGACACGCACAAGTAGAAATATATTCAGCAGACGGCTGTGAGGGGAATATAGAAATTCCCCTTACAACCGTCTGCAAATGAAGCTGCAGCCTGTACGCTCGGATATATTTCTGTATCTATACGTGTATATCTTCTCTATATATATGCTTACATCATGCGTATATACCTATACACACACTACCAGTACCTACTTCAAGTCTGCCTGCGAGGTGAACACCTGCTGCCAATTCCAGGGAGAGAACATTCGTGTCCCCTGGTAGTTCCGAATCTGTTGCTACTGCAGCAGCAGCAGCAGCAGCAGCAGATGCTGCAGCTGCTGCTTCACGGGCTGCCTGCAAGGCTGCCTGGTCATCTTCCGCCTCGGCTAGGGAGACTGCGCGAAGGAGAGAAGCCCAGGCCTCGCTATAAGCGTTTGCTGCTGCTGCTGCAGCAGGACAGCAGCAAACAACAACCGGACACCAGCAGCAGGATCAGCGATATCAGCAAACAGTATCAGAGAGAGCAGCAAGACAGCAGCAGCACCAGGGACAGCTACAGCTGCGAGTATACTTGTAGTTAGTAGTAACAGCAGCAACTGTAACAACAACAGCAGCAGTAGTAGCCACAGCAACAAAGTACAGCAGCCACAAACGGGATTTGGCAGGTGTTCGCCCCCGTCTATCTTTTTTTCAGCTGGCTTATGGCCCCTGTGGAGGGGTCCAGAGAAGCTCAAACTGCAGAACCCCGCTTTGCACGGTGCAGCAGGAACGGCAGGAGCAGCTGCAGCGGCTACAGCAGCAAAAGTTACCACAATAGCAGCTACAGCAGCAACAGCTTCTGCTGCGTCTTACCTTCAGCAGCTGCAGTGCCGGTGTCTAAATATCTCTCGTCGTTCGTAAGGAGTCCTGGCACTCGAGCGCTGCAGGGCCGCAAGCTGTCAGCTGTTGCTGCTGCTGCTGCAGCTAATGTGTCTTGCTTTGCTGCTGCTCCCGAGGCACCGGATCCGCTCAACGAGTTCCAGAAGCCCGGGCCACCTCCGGCCGCGGCAGCAGCACCAGCACTAATATCGTTAGCAGAATTAGTAGCAGCGGCAGCATGAGCAGCAGATGACGGACTCAGAAAGGGCAAAGGCTCCAGCAAGGAATCTGTGCCGTTTCCAGCAGCAGTAGCAGCAGGGTCGCTGCTGCCGCTGCGGCTCATCCCCCCAGCAGCAGCAGCAGTAGCACTGCTGCGACAAAGTTGAGGGGGAGAAGACAAGAGAGGCAACACTGAACACAAGGGACACACGCGTTAGCTGTAACACCACTGCAATTGGTACTGCTGTTGCTGTTGCTGCGCCTGCTGCTGCTACCCCTCGAGAACTTCAGCTGTGTCTGTTTGCCTACGCGGGATCGTTACTGTGTCTGTACGCAAACTGGGTTGTTTACTAAACTACTACTGCGATACTGGGGGGCAATTCTGTTATGGGTGTCTGTTTATATGCGTTGAATGCGCACTCTTCTCCCTAGCTGTCCGTACACCCCGCGGCCAGTTGCTGATATATAAAGGGCTTAAAACCCCCAAAGAAGGGAGAACCCTGCTCCTGCAGCAGCAGCAGCAACATACGAACTGCCGCTGGCCTGCTGCCGCTGCTCCTGCCGCCGCTGCTGCCGCTTTGCTGCTTCAGAGGAACAGATCACGGTCAGTGCGACCGCTGCTCTGCTGCTGTCGCTGCTGTCTCGCTGCTACTGGTTTCTTGCTGTCGCGACAGCGAATAGGTAAACCCTGCTGTGCTACCGATGAAGTACAAGCAATGTAAGGGCACCGAAGACGGTCCAGCCCATCTGCCTCTGCACGGCGCTCCCCTCCTCAGGAGAAGAAACGCCAGCAGCAGGTGCAGCAGCACCTCCAGCAGCAGCAGCACCAACACCTCGACGGCTGCAACAGTAGCAGTTGCTGCTGCGGCTGCGTCCAGAAGACCCGCCGCAACCACAGCAGCACTAGCTGTAGAGGGAGCAGCAACAGCCAACCAGCTAACAGCAGCAGTAGCAGCAACAGCAACCGCAGACCCGGGGGGCAACGGCAGCAGCAGCGGCAGCAACAGCACCAGCCCCAGCAGAAGCAGCAGATGAAAAGCAAGAGGAGCAACGGTAGCACTAGAAGCAGCAACTAGAAGAGCAGCGCAGCAGCAGCAGCAGCAGCAGGAGCAACAGCAACAAGAAGACCGACGGGGGGGCAGCCATGCATCTCTCTTGTTTGTCTGCCGTGTTGTCTGTGGC